GTGTGGGGAGGAGAGTGGGAGCCCCAGCCCCGGGAGGCAGGGCTGGACGGGGGAGATTGGGAGGAGAAGCGGGGGGGAGGGGCAGCAAATCGGTCGGCGGGAAGTGGGACTGACCCAGGCACACGAGTGAGTCCGACCCCAGGGATTCCATTTCTCCCCCCCTCCCTCATAGCCTCCCTCGAGTAGTTGCAAACTGCCTGACTGGTAGACACACTCATGCAGCATGAGCACATCTACCAGCCAGACAGTTCGCAGCTACAGTCTGATACACCTAATAATAATAAAACTTACCTAATTAGAAAATACCGGACATTTCATATGTCCGGTACTTTCTCAATTTGTTTCCTTGACAGAACCCTCAAATACCAGACTGTCCAGTACAAAACTGGACACCTGGCAACCCTACCCCTCCTTGCACCCTCCCTCCTAGCCAGATACCCTACCCCCAGTCTGCTCCTTCTCCCGCCTCCTGGAGTGCCCATGTGATGCCGGGTCCCCCAAGCCCTGGCCCAGGCTGGGTGGAGGATGCAGCCAGGTGAAACACTGAAAATTTATTCATCTTCATTCTTTTTTTAATATGTGTTTATATTTTTGGGCTGCAAAAAACAGTACTAAAAAAAACCTGGTTCCAACTAAAGTAAAAAGTTTGGGAAACACTGGTCTAGCCAGCTTTCTATCCATCTTACAGTCCATTTATCCAATCCATATTCCCTTAACTTGCTGGCAAGAATATTGTAGGTGACTGTATCAAAAGCTTTGCTAATGCTGGCACTGGGGGCTTTGGGAGGACCAGAAACAACTTATTTGAATATTCATCATTTGCTTAATGAATATACAAATATGCAAACGAATGTTACCTGTCCTCCCAAAGCTCGTGAATGGATTTACTGGTCCCCGTATCAAAAAGTTTGGGAACCCTGGCTAAGACCATTGACCCATCTAGCTCAGTGTCTTGCCTCTTTTAGTGGCTTTTACATGATACTTCAGAGGAAGGTGACACTCCCCATAATGTGTCTAGTTAATGTGTCGGGAGAAATGATTTTCTGAACTTTCCAGGCAAATCCTGATTTCTGTTAACTTTTTACCTGGTTTCTTAGTGACTTCAGCTACTTATGTTCTGTTTTATGTAAATACCTTAAATCTTTGTAACATTCTCTTATAAACATTGCCATACTGATTTCCTGCAGCAGTGAGTTCCATGGGTTGGCTCTACTCTTCAGGAAGAATGACTTCTTCTTTCATTGCTGTGTTTCAGTTCAATTACTGGCCTTTAGGCCTCATATTGTGTGTATGGCTGGGTAGAAGCAGCCCAATGGCTGTCCCTGAACCATTTCCTTGTATACCATAGAGCAATTTTTTTTCTCTCTGTATTTTGCCTCTTGCAGCTGATAATTTCTGGTTTGTTTTCACAGAAATCTCAGTGTTTCACCTTTGAAGATGAAGAGCGGGAGGCGAGGAAAGTATGTCTTTTGTTTCTTACTATGGCCACGCAGAGATACCTGAATGCAGAGCAGTGAATGCCAAAGGGCTTGGTGAAAGACAGAAAACCTCCCCCAAGTGACATGTGCCTTCTTATTGGGATTTAGGTCATATGTGGAAGAGCACTAGGTTAGAACAGTGGTCCCCTGACTCAGTTTGTCAACAGTGTCCATTCCAGATCTAGGAGCAGATTCTGCATAGCATGAGATGCCACATCTGCTGTTCCTCTCCTTGTTCCCCAGGGCCAGGCATGGTATTGCTCAATGCTCTGTCGTAAGATGTCTTTTATGGTTCTTGATTTGAAGAAATGGCTTTTTATACTCTCGTGTTTCAGCCATGGGAATAGAAAATCACTCTTGTCTCTGAGTCTCTATTGCTGGCACACTCTCTACTCTGAGTTTTGATACACACATGACCACGCTCCTGCCACTACCCCTCACATAGACAAATGCCCACCGTGTGCATGCATGTACACACGGCCACACACACAGCATCTAAACAGACATACCATACAGAAAAATGCTTGCCACCACTACTGACACAGACCACATTCATGCCTTCTGTCACTCCACTGCAGTCATTGGAATTATCCCAGAGTTGAGTGTGGCCTGCAGAATCTGGTATACACAGAGGTATACCTCTGCCACCACTCAGGTAGCCAGAAAAACAATCTGCACCTGCATAGACACACTGAGGCCTTTATCTACAGTGGAGAAATGTACTATGGTCTCTCTCAGATGATGGAAACGTCTATTGTGTCTACACACAGAAGTGTTCCGTACATAGTCGGGGGGGTAAGAAATATGGCAAATACCCTTGGATTTGGTATCAGTAAGCAACAGTGAATCCTGTGGCAAGGAGCTTTTAAAGGAGCAATCTGATCAACCAGAGGCAGCCCTGTGTTACATCACCCTGCCTTAAACTAGGACAGACCACTGGACCAATGCAGACTCCAGCTACTTGGTGGAGAGCAATTACGGAGAGGCCCAGCTGATCTCTGTGAAGTTTTTGATACTACACTATTTGTCAGGAGGGGTGGGAGGAGGGTGTTTTTCATAAAGGTTTTTATATCCTTTAACATATACAATATAAAATAAATTCAACTGCTTCAAGAATGTCATCAAAAACCATTCTTTTGGGGTGGTAGAAGGACCCTGACTTTGGAGTGCTTATCTGGCAACAAAGCAAGAAATGATCATTATTCTTCATACAGGCGATCTCTGCAAGGCCCCCTCCTCATTCAGTTCACTTCAGATCATCTCCAGAAAGGCTTAACATTTACAGCAAAACGCCCCTGATTCATATCATACTTCACTGAGCCACAGTCTCCCAAATTCACTCCTATGGCAGCTGGCTGTCTCACCCTCACATTTCATCACAGATTGAATGGCAGCGAGTGAGCTGTAGTCATCCTTGTGGCATCATTACTCAGACAACATATGCAGAACATTAGGGTCATCTGAAGTGTTGTTATGCATTGAAGCTACACTGCACAGGGTTGTATGATGCATTGCCTTTGCTCTTTTGCTGTTTGTTTTCTTAAACTCGCTGGTCTGCAAGTTATCAGCAGTTCGCAATGGGGACAGAACCTCAATTGGTGTAAATCAGTACTGGGGGAGCTCTCCCAGTTTATCCCAGCAGGGAACCAGGGCCAATGAGTTTCCTGTTATGAGTGAGAATTAGTGATATTCTACTATATATCTTGTGAGACCTTTTCCCTTCTTTCCACCCTCTTCTCCTCCCAGCTAGATTCCCTTTCCTTCCCTTAACCTCGTATTATCCTTCCCTCAGTGCCTTCAGCCTGCGCCTCCACCCCCAGTACCATCCGCTGTCTGCCCTAGAGACTCTCTTTACAGCTACCCCCCCATATTCTGTATTTCTCTCCATGCATTAGTGCTAGAAGTGGGTCAGAACCAACACACTAGAGCCAAATATCCATGAGCTGTGTTCTCTCTAAGGGCAACACAGCTTCACAGCCCCACCCAGTCGATGAGCTCCATGCACCCTGAGCCTTTGACTGGGCGGGATTGATTCATTACCTGTGAAGCTGTGCTGCTGCTCAGCTTAGAGGGAACACTGCCCATGAGCTTCGGAAAGCTCATATCTTGATCTGAACTCTGTGCTAGACTCATCTCTATCTCACTTATCTGTTTCAGCACAGTATGTTACACAGTGCCCACTTGTGAGAACAGCTGTTGATGGGTCAGCACGCTAAGGCACTGTTTGCTGTGTCTTCATTTTTTCCCTTCCTACTCCTCCAGAAAATGGCTCAGCTGCTGATCAAGTTCCTGGAGAGAGAGCTCCAGCCCTCCTGCCAAGTCACATGTTTGGAAAGCATCCGCATCCTGTCCCGGGACAAAAGCTGCCTTGACCCCTTTACCACCAGAGAAGGCTTGCAGACCCTGGCCAGACATGCTGGCATTGATTACTCAGAGGAGCTCATTCGGGAGGTCCCAGACCTGGATGTGATCCTGGAGGCCCTCAAATGCCTCTGCAACATCGTCTTCAGCAGTCCTAGGGCACAGGAGCTGACAGCTGAGGCCCGGCTAGTGGTGGGACTCACAGAGCGCATCAAGCTCTACAACGAGAAGAACCTGTCCCCCTGGCCAGACATGCTGGCATTGATTACTCAGAGGAGCTCATTCGGGAGGTCCCAGACCTGGATGTGATCCTGGAGGCCCTCAAATGCCTCTGCAACATCGTCTTCAGCAGTCCTAGGGCACAGGAGCTGACAGCTGAGGCCCGGCTAGTGGTGGGACTCACAGAGCGCATCAAGCTCTACAACGAGAAGAACCTGTCCCACGTGTTCCTGCTGGCGGCACTGAGGGTGGACATCCGGCAGCAGCTGGCCCAGGAGCTCAGGGGCATCAGCCTGATGACAGACACCCTGGAGCTGACACTAGGGGTAAAATGGCTGGACCCCCATGAAGTAGCCAGTGAGGGGAGCCCTCCCCTACCCCTGCCACGCCAGGAGACAGAGCGTGCCATGGAGATCCTTAAGGTGCTCTTCAACATCACGTTTGACTCCAGCAAGAGAGAGGTGGATGAGGTAAGTTTCCCAGAAGTCACTAAGTAACTCCTTCCTGTGATGTCTGTTCTTGGTACATCCACCAGTCTGTGAACTCAGTTACATACTGCAGGGGGAGAGATAGCTCAGTGGTTTGAGTGTTAGCCTGCCAAACCCAGGGTTGTGAGTTCAATCTTTGAGGTGGCCATCTAGGGATAATCTGTCAAGGATGGTACTTGGTTCTGCCCTGACAGTAGGGGACTGGACTCAATGACCTCTCAAGGTCTCTTCTCTCTCTATGAGATAGGTATATCTCCATATTTTATACACATGTGTAGGAACAGAAGCAGCCTTTGTTTCTAGAACAGTTTGATGACAACTCTGTTATCTCAGCCCTATCCAGTGTTAACACATAACAAATTGTAGCATTTAAAAACCGCTGAATTTTTGTAAACTTTCTTATGACTAAAAATAAATTTTCTGTGCCAGAAGAGGGAAGAACGTTCATGTAATTCTCCTTTCGGGAGAGCCAAGGCACGGCCCTTTTCTGCCTTTTATAATAGCTAGTGGATGAGATCGAGTTTGCAGATGGCTAACTCTTGGGAGTTAGCTAGGCCCCGGAGCATGATGGAGAACTTGGAAGGGATATGGAGCAATATAAAGAATGATCAAGTGTGTGGGTGGGGCTGGAAGCAGAAAGAGAATTCTGGGGACATTTCCATGATTTGTGTGTTAGTCCTCTGACTCCACTTCAACAAGATTTTATTGTTCTCAGTATTAGGCCACATCTTCACTTGTGCACCAGAGATCAATCTTCTGGCGTTTGATTTAGTGGGTCTAATTAAGATGCACTAAATCGAACACAGGGCAGCTCTGGTCGGCGCCAGTACTCCTGGCAGTCATGAGGAGTAAAGGAGGCCAATGGGAGCATTTGCATGCCTTAACTCAACCTTCCAGGTCTAATGTGAACCTGACCTCAGTGTAAAGAAGTGTTCTGTTACCAGAACAGCAATAGAGAGGCAGAGCAGACACCAGACTCCAGAATTTCAGGGACTGCAGATATGTGGTTCCCTTTCATAATCAGGTTTTTTGTTTTCTCTTTTGGGGCCAGGAAGATGCTGCTCTGTACCGACGCCTGGGTGCTCTCCTGCGTCACTGCCTGATGATTTCAGCTGATGGAGAGGACCGGACAGAAGAATTTCACAGGTGAAGATCATTGTCCTGGCATAAGATTTGAACCCACATAACCTTCTGGCCCACAGGAAAAGGTGCTACTGTCTAAGCCATCCTGTATCAGGGGCAGCAGCACAGGGCAGCAGCTGGCTCCCTGGGAGCTGGTGCACACCAGGAGCCAGCTGTTGGTGTGCACTAGTTCTTGCCTGTCACCATACTCCCAGGGAGCTGGCTGCTGTCCCGTGGCTCTCACCTGCTGCCTCTGCTCATGCTTATTGGTTACCAGTTTAAACAACTGCACTAACATCTCTATCCTGAGTCATATTGTGCAATTGTCATATGTTGTGCAATTGACATTAACAATTGTTAGAGAGAAAGCTGAGAGACTTGCCCAAATCAGGTCACATTTGACCTTTGTGTGTGCATCCTCTGATTGGTTTGATTGTAGAAGAGTCCACTTGCAGGTTCCAGCAAATGATGGTTTTTGATCTTACCCATCAGCTCTTCATATTGCTAAAAGTTAGAAACAAACTTGCTTCTTGGAGAGTAAAAGGATCTACATTAACACAGAGCCTGGATGTCTCTTGGTTCCTCCTCTCCCTGTATGTTCAGCCACACAGTTAACCTCTTGGGAAACCTCCCGCTCATGTGTCTGGATGTTCTGCTGACCCCGAAAGTACGGCCAGGCTCGCTTGAGTACATGGGCGTCAACATGGATGCAGTCAGTGTCCTGCTGGATTTCCTAGAGCGAAGACTCGACCGGGTAAGTAGAGATGCTGTTCAGCTGATTCATCTTTCTATGCAGTACCTTCCCTTTCACCCTCCTTAGCAGTGCTGATTTCTCCATTAAAAACCCAAACACACCTCCCAAGGAGACCGCAGGAATGTCAGCAAGTGATAGCTGGTTTGGAATTCACCAGAGTCATTTGTAGCTATACCGTGAATAGAAGCAGTAACAGATATTTTCTTGAGAGAGGCAAAAACATTATGGTTGGTGTTTGAGTATGTTTACTGGTTGACTGGACGGTAGGGTGGTTAACTTATTGATTAAAAAGTAATAGATTTATTGTCTGTTTATATAGTAAGATTGGTTGGATGGGTGTTGGTTAACTGACTGACTGGGAGAGGGATACTTAGCGGGGTGCTGAAACAGCTGGTTGAATTGGAAGACCTGGAACTGGTTAATTAACGGGTATGGTAGTCAGCTGTTTGGATATGACAGTGTTAAGTTACTGGTTAGCTGTTTCTTTCCCATGACTAACTCAGCAGGTCTGAAGACTGATTGTCACTGCTCTCACTTTGAGGTGGCAAGTTGATGGAGTTTTTGTGGGCTCCATTGAGGCAGATCATATGGATTAACACCACCCTTCCCCTCAAATTCCTGGGCTTTTTACTCCAGCATCGTAATCTGAGTTTTCCCTGAAGCCAAAAATAAAATCATGTTAAGTACTCAGTCTTTTTTTGACAGAAAGGTGTTATATGAAGGAAATCTGTTAACAAGTCACCAATGCAGAAGAACATTGTGTGTGGTCTTCAATCTCCAGAGATAGTCTGAGAGCTTTTCTCGGGGGGGCTGCATGACTTCCCAGCTCTTTCTGCTGTCACGCCTGAGTTCCAGTGTGTTTCTGGCAGTCCTGTGCCATACAGCAAATGCAAAGAGGCTGCCAGCTTTGAGTACTGTACAGTGGGAACACTGCCGTGGTAGAGAACTGGAATTCCCCATCCTCGTCTCTTTCTACATATCTCGTGATCTGTCTCGGCTAGGAACTAGACAGTGAGAATGACATGAGCTTGTGATGATCTGTTGTTTCTTTCACAGGGTCACAAACTGAAGGAGACACTAACTCCTGTGCTGAACCTGCTGACAGAGAGTGCCCGTGTCCACCGCCAGACGAGGAAGTTCCTCAAAACTAAGGTACTATGCTGGCATAGCGAGAATCCAGATGATACTAACTCCTGATTCCTCTGAGCTGGGAGACTAACACAAACTTTATGGATGCCATCAGCCTGCAGACAGATGTAGTAAGGTCACTGATGAAGTAGGATTTATCGGTGTGGTGTCCTGACTGGTCTCTGGCTCCCTCGATGATGATAACCAGAAGGCTGCATGCATGTGTGCACAATGATGTGTGCCGGGTGGACTTGTGCTGTTAGTCACCACAGCAGACCCCAAGAGAGCCCCCAAAGACCACAAATCAGACAAGGATTGAAGGCGCCTGGCCAGGTTTATTCTTAAGCAAAGCACAGTCATGGTTGCCAGTAGACTTTAACAAACCACTACGCAGCTGTACCCATAACAATGGACTCAACTCAGTCAGGCTATAGCTACACTGCCCGTTTTTTGCAGAAGTAGATATGCAAATCGTGCTCGCATTTGCATAGCTTCTTCCGATTCTTTTTACGGAAGAGGTTTTGCTGCTACTTGGACCCATGTAGACAGGAGCCAAATGTCGCAAAAATACCTTCTTTTGCAAGACCCCTTATTCTTGTAAATCGAGGTTTACAGGGTCTCGTGAAAGGGGCGGTTTTCTCGACATTTGGCCCTGTCTACCCGGGGCCAAATAGCAGCAAAATCTCTTCCTCAAAAAGAATTGGAAGAAGATATGCAAATGCGAGTGAGATTTGCATATCTCCTTCTGCAAAAAACAGCAGTATAGCTGTAGCCTCATTGGGATACCCCATTGGTCCCCAGCTGGACAAAGACTGTCCCCCCCCAAGACACCACTTTATATACAGGTACAAACAAGTGACACACCACTCCTGATGTATCATGTTGCCACCCTCTAACATTGCCAGGTTACCACCCTCTAATGCTATTTAGATACCACCCATCACTGTGAACCTTGTAATTCGATTAGAACATCTCTATCCATCATGCCGTTATTTTAGAGCCTTTCCTGAACCTGTGTCTGTATCTGTGGGGAGTGTGGGTACCAAGGTCTTTTTTAATGAGCTGGTGGTACCATCCTTTTGGAATGTGCTTTCAACCTATGACCAGTACCAATGACTGTTCTACACCTGGGCCTATTACCAATTAGTGTTTTGCACTCTCTGCCCTGTTCGTGCCAAGTTCTGTGAGCAAAGGCCTGCCTTTTGTTTACAGCTTAGCTTTGCTTTATAGTAGTCAAGTGTTGTCCATAGTTAGCTAGGCCTCAGGCCTCAAACCAGGCCTGTGCTACATGGGCTTTTGTTTCAGGCCCTCACTTTACTACAACAGACACCCTTCTACCTCCATATATCGATTCTGATCTCCAAGGCTATGAGCACCACAATATCTGCCATGTCTGCCTGCACACTTGCTGCCTTCCCAGTAGTGCAGTCATTTGTAAAGTGCATTGTGGCACAAAGGTGCTCTGGAAATCTCTGCACGGTTCCAGCCTCATCCCTCTTGCTGTGGCTTTGCAGGTGCTGCCTCCGCTGCGGGATGTGAAGAATCGCCCTGAGGTGGGGAACTTGCTGCGGAACAAGCTCGTGCGTCTGATGACGCACATTGACACCGACGTGAAGCACTGTGCGGCCGAGTTCCTCTTTGTGCTCTGCAAGGAGAGTGGTGAGTAACGGAAGCGCCGGGGGATGGATGAGAGTCTCTGGGGCCTGAGTGCCCGAGCGGCAGGACATGGAATCCAGTTTCTGGTAAAAGCCAATTAGAGCGTACACCACACCAGACCTTCAGAAGCTAGAGGATGCACCTTGCCACCCCTCAGACTCACTGCCCAGACAATCGGTACTTAGGGGAGGTAGTACAGGAATGCACCAGGGGGAAGGCAAAGTTGCCTTCCCACCTCATAGACACGTCATATAGATGAGCAGTGCTAGGGGTTAATGAAACACTTTACAAGGAGACACTTCTTCTCAACTCACAGACACGCTAGGGTTGTCAGTGGTTGTAGCTCCCCTGATCCATTATCCAGCCCCTCCTCAGGAGTGGGGAAACAGCTAATAAATTTGGTATCGTTTGCTTTACGCTCCGCTCCACTGCCACAAAGTCCAGGGGAAGGATTGAGGAGTGGTACATGGGGATTCTGTCTGGGAGAGGAGGACCCAGAGCTGAACTTGCCGCTTGAGCACTCAGGAGCAGTGTAACGACTCTCAGTGCCACAGGCTGCATTTCTCGTCTGCCTCTTTCACATGACTTCTTGTTTAAAACCAGTCACTTTCTCTCAGCCAGCCCAGCCTTTCCCTGGAAGGCTGGTTGGCGGCCCGGGGATGTGCTGACTCTCCTGTCTCTCTCCCCTCAGTGTCGCGCTTTGTGAAGTACACAGGGTACGGCAATGCAGCGGGGCTCCTGGCCGCACGAGGCCTCATGGCAGGAGGGCGGGCAGAGGGAGAGTATTCTGAGGATGAAGACACGGACACTGAGGAATACAAGGAAGCTAAGCCCAAGTAAGGACCCCTTTTCCTCCACCACCTCCCCGCACAGTCCCTCCCTACACACTCACAAATCCCTTTCGCCATGCCCAGCTACTTTCTCACAAGCTACTTTCCCCATCCTGTCCCTGTGCACTTCCTACCCCATTATCCATGTTTCTCACTCTGTTCCTTTAAGCTCTTCCCCATCCTCTCCCTGCATCTCTGTGCCCACGGCTTCACCCACTTTCTCCTCTTCGCTACTCAAAATTCATTTGATGGCATTCCATCCAAAAATTACCTGTTTCCTGCTCCCCCCTTCCAGGAATGTCCCCCATCGCTAGGGTGCCAGTATCCACTCAGCTCTCAGGAGAGGCATGGAGATATGAGAGCCTGTGCAGTAAGAGTGAGGTTAGAGCTCAGGACATCCCCACCTCTAGCTGCTGGGTCCCTGTCTTTAGCCAACATGAACACGTTCCTCTCTCCCCTCCACAGTCCTTAGCAGTGTCCCCTATGACCTGGTGAATGGAGGGGGCTCTCCAGACCTACTGAGCTCTGATTGAATATAGGATTGGCTATGTCAAATCAGGCCATTGGTCGGCCAGTTCTGGAATTCCACGGACCACATGTATGTGGAAGAAGATTGATGTAAAGTCTCAACAGATGGAGGCCACTGGAAGGAAGTGACGAGAAGGGGACATATTCTCACTGCGGTGGCTGAAGAAGGAGGGGAGGGCATGGTAGGACTCTCCTGCCTCAGGAGAGTTTGGTGTGATCGGTGGAGCATGACCTGTCCCTTGTGATGCCACCACTGCTAGCATCCCAAGGAGGAGAGTGCATGTGCTCTGTGGCCAACTCTGTTGTTGGGCAATTGTAGACTCATAGACACAGCCTGATTTTCAGTGAACCAGTTTCTCTTTTCTATCTTCCCCTTTTTCTCTACTTCCTGCTCCCATCATCGCATTTAGCATTAACCCAGTGACAGGGCGTGTGGAGGAGAAGCTCCCCAACCCCATGGAAGGGATGACCGAGGAGCAGAAGGAGTATGAAGCCATGAAGCTGGTTAACATGTTTGACAAGCTGTCCAGGTACCAGAAGAGATAACAGAGTGGGCATGTGTGTGGTTTGGGGATGCAATGGGAATGCACTAGGAGAAAAAGGCCGGCTAGTATCAGTCAGACACTGGGAGTGGAGAGACCCAGGTTTGTCGTAGAAACATGACTATGGCAGGTCAATGCAGTAGGATGGTCTCAATGGGCACACAACATATGCCTTGAGGAGGAGAGGAATCCCACCTCCGTGCATTGAGCATTTGGTAGCTGTCCAGGGCTCTGGAAAGTCATGGGGGGTGGGATCCGGGTGATGGCAGGGAAGATTTAATATATGAATACATTAACAGCTGGATTCTGTTACCCCAGTGAAAGGAATTCAGGGGCCCTAGCCAAGTCGTTGAGACAGCAGCAGATTGAGGCTATGTCTAGACCAGTGGTGCTCAACCTTTTTTCATTCATGACCCCCAGGGCTGGGAAAACTTTGGTTGAGGAAAAAAAAAAAAATCCGACTGAAACATTTTGTTGAGGCCCCTTTCATTTCAAGCGCCAGTCTGCTCCCCTGCCACTTCCCCCACCCCCCACTGTGCATACGTCAGGCACAGAGCCGGGAAAATAAAATGGCGGCCAGCCCGGCGCTGCAACCCCCCAGGAAGACAGGCTGTGCACCGCTGGTCTAGACTACACTCTTTTACTGGAAAAATTTGCATAGCTTTTTTTTTCCCAATTGTTTTTTCAGAAGAGGCTTTTCTGGTGGGGCCAAATGGCAGAAAAGCCTCCTCTTTTGGAGGAGTCCTTATTCCTCACAAAAAATAGCGGAAGAGCAAACACATTCCCTGGACGTGGCAGGGTTTTCCTGGGATCCCTCCAGTATCCTGGAAAACCCCTGCAGTGTAGACACAGCCTGCGGCTCTGCCACGTAGACATGTTATCTGCCCCCCAGTGCATCTGGAGGTTGCCACCTCCCCAGAGTTCAGCCTGGGCGCTTGCTAGCAGAGGGTGGCATTGCCCCTGCCTGGCTACTAGTAGAAAGTAGCATTTCAGACACAGATGGCAGCCAATGGCACCAATT